GAGCTCCGCGGGGAGGAGGCGGAGGGGGAGGAGACGGCGCGGGGAGCGTTAAAAGGCGGCAGCTGAATGACAGCGGCTGGGCCCCCCGCCCCCCCCCCCCCCCCCGGCCCCGGCACCGCCCCGGTGGGCACCGGCCCCGGCTCCGGGCCAGGAGGCGCCGCGTCCCTGCCCGCGTCCCCGTCCCCATCCCTGTTTCCATCTGCGTCTGTGACCCCATCACCATCCACATCCCCGTTCCCATCCCCACCTACATCCCTGTCCCCATCCCAATCCCTGTCCCCATCCCCGTTTCTGTCCCTGTTTCCATCTGCATCCACATCCCCGTCCCCATCCCTATCCCTGTCTCCATCTGCATCTGTGACCCCATCACCATCCACATCCCCGTTCCCATCCCCACCTACATCCCTGTCCCCATCCCAATCCCTGTCCCCATCCCCGTTTCTGTCCCTGTTTCCATCTGCATCCACATCCCCGTCCCCATCCCTATCCCTGTCTCCATCTGCATCTGTGACCCCATCACCATCTACATCCCCGTTCCCATCCCCACCTACATCCCTGTCCCCATCCCAATCCCTGTCCCCATCCCTGTCCCCAGCCCCATCTGAATCCCCAGCCAATCCCTGTCCCAACCCCCATCCCCATCCCACTCAGTCCCCATCGCCTGCGCGGCCTGTGCTGCCTTGGGGTCACCACCCCATTGCCATCACTCCCAGCAGCCTGGGCAGCCCCAGGGGGCTCCTCCCGGGCACCACATCACCCCAGGGAAGGGAGCTGCAGGGGCAGGGGGGCATCAGCACACCCAACGCACCCCTCCACCAGCCTGGTGCCACTTGCCCCGGTCACACCCGGCCGGGCACACAGCTGCCTCCCAGCCCCACGCCAAGCAGTGGGTCTGGGGGTGGCCCCCAGGGCCGTGCTGCTGCTGCTGCCGTTAGCGGCCGGCGTTCGGGGAGAGCTGCCTGTACCGCGGATGCCGGCAGAGCCTGGCACAGAGGAGTGGTGGACGTGCAGCCTGGAGTCACCAAACTGATGCCTAAGCAGTTTTGCCCATCTCCTAGGTCGGGGTTCCATGTTCATCAGCAACCACAAACCAGTCCAGGATATTTTAAGATATTTGTTAGGAAATATAAGTAACTAACAGTTACAGGATAAACCGCAGAACACCATGGCAACCCACTCATGGAAATGCTAATAACTGGGACGTAAGGTGGGTGATTAACCTATCAAAAGCAGAACCCTAACATTAAGTTGGGTGCAGATCTATGCAGAGAAAAATGAAGTGTTCCCACTGTGAACATGCACAAAAGCAGTATGGCGTTGCATGCAGATCTATGCAGAGAAAAATGAAGTGTTCCCACTGTGAACATGCACACAGTATGGCATTAGCAGCCGCAGCCCTGGCAGGGTCTGCGGGCAGGGGGGATGGCCCCCACTGCTGCCCCTCTGCCCCCCCGCCGCGGCACGGAGCAGCAGTGGGGTGGGGGGTGATCCTGCTTCTCCCCTTCCCTTTGTCGGAGCATAGCTGTGTTGTTTGCCTTGGCTTTGCAACGGGAGTTATAAATAAAAATGTCTCACCAAGAGTGCGTGACTCACGGTCCTCACCACAAGGATAACCTCTCTGCTAGGAAACCTGATCCGAGGACCGAACTGCGGCATGCAAGAATCAAAGACATTGCTTAATATATTTAATCCAAATGGCGAACGGACAAGCCCCTCACCCCACCTGGGCTGGGGCGGGCTGCTGGGAAAAGTGCCTGTGCCCCTCTGGATCCCTGTCCTGTGCCCCTCTGGACCCCTGTCCTGTGCCATCCCTGACCTCCAGCTGCTGACAGCCCAGCCCTCAACCTGTGCCAGGGCCTGGTGGTTTCCCTCGGACGGCAGCGGGGAGCTGCGGCAGTGGCTGACGTGGCCTCGAGCAGCTCCAGCCTCAGCGTTACCTCCTGCCACCCTCCGAGGGGGCAGCTCGAGGGTGCTGGTGTCGCCTCATGCAGCTCGGGCATGGTGGGACGTGGGGATGTGCTCAGGCATCACCCCTCAGAGGGAAGACTCTGTCAGCCCTGTGCACCAGGACACGGCCGTGCCTGTGCCTGCCTCCACTGCCTGGGCAGCAGGCAGCGGCCCCCTTCGGAGGCTGGGGCTGCAGTGCCTCTCCCGGGATCACACGCCGGCTGCACGGCTCCATCCTGCTGCCATGCTCTGCCTGCGGTGATGCCCGTGGTGCCTGGGTACCGCATCCTCCTGCTGTGCTGCCATCCCCGAGCCGGAGCCTGGCCCCATGGGGAGAGGGATGCCCTGTGCCCCAGTGCCCCAGCCTGGCAGGACCTGGTTTATCCTGGGGGTAGGCGGCGGCGGCGGGGCGACAGCTGGCTGGGGGATTTGCCGAGGGCATTATTTAATGCTGTGGGTAAATGGAGAAACAGCAGCTAATTCTGGAGCCTGTAATCCTCTTCCTCCCCTGGGGATGGGGAGCGTGCCAGTCACGCAGCCGCCGGCGGGCCCTGGGGATGAGCCCCTGGCAGCTCCCCCGGCGTGCTGCGGGCCGGAGCAACTCCCAGACCATGGGTGATGTGCAGAAGGTAAGCGGGGTCCGGTGACATCCCACCTGCACCAGGGTGGGTGTGCCGGCACCGCCCCGGCTCCCGGCTGGGGTGCTGGGCGGGCTGGCAGAGCAGGACCGGGGCTTTACCCTGGGCATGTCCCCCCAGCACACCCAGGAGCTGGCAGGGCTCCCAGGGCAGGGACAGCACACCCGGGGGCGGGGTTGGGGCTGGGCAGATCTGCCGTGGGCAGCCTGGACACCTTGGGAGCCAAGCCCTGGTGCTCGCTCAGGCCATAGACACGGGGTACCCATGGCCAACAGTGCACCCAGCTCCCCCCTCCGAAATGAGGGTGCTCTGCAGAGCCCTGGCGCCCCGCAGGCCTCCCCCAGTACCCCACGTCCCCAGGGGCTGCTCTCCGTCATCCAGAGGCTGAAGGGTTCCCCAGAGCAGGAGCTCCGCATCGTCCTGCTGGGGCTGGACAACGCGGGGAAGACCACGCTGCTGAAACGCCTGGCGTCCGAGGAGGTCAGCACCATCACGCCCACCCAGGTAGGTGCCGCTGGGGGCCATGGGCAGCGGGAGGGTGGCAGGTCCTACCCTCCCCTTGGGTGATGCCGGGGTTTGTGTCCTCACGCAGGGCTTCAACATAAAGAGCGTCCACTCGCACGGCTTCAAGCTAAACGTCTGGGATATCGGCGGGCAGCGCTCCATCCGCCCGTACTGGAGGAAGTATCTGGGCAGCACAGACCTGCTGGTGAGTGGAGCGGCCGCCCGCAGCCCACCGCAGCCCTGCGTGCGGAGAGCTATGCCTTCTGCGCAGGGCCCTGTAGCCCAGCAGAGCCCTGTGGCCCCCACAGAAGGCAGAGGGCTGTGCAGCCGGGCAAGAAGGAGCCGCTGACTGTCCCTTTTGTCCCCATGGCAGATTTATGTCATTGACAGCGCAGACCAGAAGCGTTTCGAGGAGACCGGGCAGGTATGAGGAGTCTGGGCAGGGGGATGGCTGTGGGGCCCTGGGGCTTGGACCCAGCTGGCACCAGCTCTTTGAGGACTGGAGCGGGGAGTGAGGCTGCTCTCTACCGTGGGGCAGCACCGCTGTGGGGGCCACGCTGTCCCCAGAGCTATGTGGGAAGGGCTCGTGATCAGGGTCTCAGCACCTAGAACCACCCCATGGCAGATCTGTGCCCAGCAGCTCCCCCCGAGCTGGGTGTGATCCCCCAGGGGTACCTGACATGGGGGTAACTCTGACCCTGGTGAGAGCGACCCCTTGGTCGCCAGCCTCACGCCCTCCTCCCACCTCCCCAGCACCAGGTTAGTGATACGATCAAGCAAAGGTTTACGAGTAGCAAATTCAGAGTTACAAACCCTGGGAATGAAGCCGGAGAGGGGAAGGTGAGATTCCGAGTGCCAGTCTTGGCTGTACAGGCACCAGATGGCAACGCGGCTGTGCCAGACAGCATGGGGCTGACAGCAGCCTCCTGTAGCTGCCCTTTGCCCAGGGCTCTCAGTGCCGGCAGTGCTTCAGCCCTCAGGTAGTACTGCGTGCGGCTCCCGGGCTCTCTTCAGGGCAGATGGAGCTTCAGGGGTGTGTGACTCTCCCTCAGGATGTCGAGACCTCACAGCTGCTTTGGCTGTAATAAAAGCACCAGACAGAGGGGAGTGAGGCACTCTGCGGGTCTGAGTGCCCCAGCCCGCCCTGGACAGCTCAGGCAAGCAGCCAGGCAGCTCTGTGGAGGAGGGCAGCGGTGGGCAGCAGCCCTGGGAGACAGTTCTCTCTTGGCAGGAGCTGGCAGAGCTCACCGAGGAGTCGTCCCTCACAGGCGTCCCACTGCTGGTGTTTGCCAACAAGCAGGACCTAGTGACTGCAGCACCCACAGCCGAAATCGCAGAAGGGCTGAGCCTCCACACCTACCGGGACCGGGAATGGCAGATCCAGGCCTGCTCAGCCTTGTCTGGGGAAGGAGTGCAGGTAGAGGGACAGGGGCCTGTGGGCTCTGCAGAGGTGGGAGAGGACCCGAGGACCTGCTGTGCTCTTAGGGCTGTGCTCATGTCTCTCTCTTCCCTCCAGGATGGGATGAACTGGATTTCCAGCCAGATCATGAAGAGGAAGAAGTGAGAGCTGCGAAGTGCCAGACTGGACTGAGCTGCAGGTCCCTAAGCCATGGCCAACCCCCCTGGTCCCTAGACTTCCCCGGAGGGCTCAGCTGGGCCCTGAGCCTCAGATGCCATGCTCAGATGGGCTTCCTACCCAGTCTTTCACTAATCAGTCGGCTTCCCCCCTCCCTGCCTCCTGGGCTTCCACGGGCTCTTCGTACCCCCCAACCCTCCTGCAGCCCCAGTGCTGTCGGAGGGAAGCACACATCCCGTTGTGTCAAGGGCTTGCACGCCTCCAGAACGAGATACCTGCTCAGGACTTGTCCATGCACACTGTAGGCACACCCCGCAGAGGCTGCTGCAGCACGCACACTGCCCAGGGCACGCTGGACACCCCACCGTGGTACCAGCTACATCCTCAGACGTGGCACGTACAGCCAACCGAATAGTGTGTATTCCCCTCCACTCCCGTAAGATGTGACTGGTGCTGCCCCAGCTACGGCAGCTGCTTGGGAAGGCCTCGGTTCAGTATCTTTTGCTGGCCAGAGGAGCTCCCACGTGTGCACGGGACCTGGGACAAGCACGAAGACACAGAGAGGACCTGTCTGAGAAGTCACCAATGGAGGGGTTTCATTGCCTGGTGACGGCCTTGGTTGCAGCCATGCTGTGCCTGCCGCCGAGAGGGGCTGCTCTGCAAGAGCCCCTGGGAAGTGCGTTGCCCTAAACACACCCAAGCTGGGGCTTCTGTTGCCCCGCTGAAGGTGCCCATCCCAAGGGCTGGAAGATGCAGCTCCCTGGCCACCACAGCCACCATGGCCGAGCGCCCGCGCCACTGAGGATGGGTGGGAGACACGCTGAGATGGGGCTGGGGGCCTTCTGCTGTGCCAGGCCCTGGGCTGCAGCCCTGCCTGCCCACAGGTGGCCCTGTGGCCCTGAATAAAGCCGCCCGTGACCTCCGCGCTGCCTCAGCCAGTCCTCCCCGCGGTGCTGGGACAGCACTTCTCCCC